TGAAACCAGCAGACTGACGCAAGGAAAGGTCCTGCTGTGCTGTTCTGTCGAGCATAATGTGTCGGCTGATACCGAGTTGTCATTGGTAATCTCCATGGTTGACTGGTCCTGTGGTAGAATCCTTCCATTGTTTGTCCGTGGTCAATACCCTCACCTGGAGTGCAAGCTATCCTGCCAGAGAAGGAAAGCAAGTTTCTGTCTGCCCCCCCCATGTCCCAAGGGCGCGAAACGGTCCCCCTCCCGTCCCCCCTAGCAGAGAAAAACCAAAAGATACGTTACTGTCGTCTGAATGCATCGCGAAGCGGCAACCTAGGGGGATTGATTATGACGGAGATCTTCAGGATTTCCATCTTCTAACGCTTTAATGTATCTTTTTAGCGGATTTTTTGACATGCATGCTCGCATGCGAGCATCTAAAAAATAATACTGTTTGTTACGGACCCCGCCTAGTATTTTGTTGCCCGTCGTGAACTGCGTGAAAAACAGAAGGCCTAAAAGATCACCAGTGATAGAGACGAGCGCCGCAAATGAGGTAGATTTAGATTTCACCCCATTCCTGATTGTGTTTTAACTTCCAGGCCAAACGCTAGGACGCCAGGCCTCAGTTCAATAATCAGCTTCATATGTCGTTTCATGTATCGCCCTCTAAAAACTCACAACAGTATTTAGTCACAGAGCGAGTTTGTGCGAAGTTGTCGATCAAACTCTCCAACAACAGATGCAGAGAATGCAGAATGAGTTAAGAGACAAGTGGAAAGGCAGTGATAACACAAGAGGAAAGCAGAAGGAGCTGTCTCCTCTCTCTCTCTCCTCCTCCTCTCCTCCTCTGTCTCCTCCTCTGTCTCCTCCTCTCCTCCTCCTCTGTCTCCTCCTCTCCTCCTCCTCTGTCTCCTCCTCTCTCCTCCTCCTCCTCTCCTCTCCTCCTCTGTCTCCTCCTCTCCTCCTCTGTCTCCTCCTCTCTCCTCCTCCTCTCCTCCTCCTCTCCTCCTCTGTCTCCTCCTCTGTCTCCTCCTCTCCTCCTCTGTCTCCTCCTCTCCTCCTCCTCTGTCTCCTCCTCTCCTCCTCCTCTGTCTCCTCCTCTCTCTCTCCTCCTCTCCTCCTCTGTCTCCTCCTCTGTCTCCTCCTCTCCTCCTCTGTCTCCTCCTCTGTCTACGCAGAAGAACCACATGTTTACCTCAGAATGACTTTGATCAGAGACAGTGAAGGACCCGGGTCCAGGACCTGTGCTTTTCTGTTTCATCCTCTTTCAATTCCATTTGGATTTGAGACAAACCAGTGGAATGTTGGAGGTTCTCCATCGACCGAGTCCGTTTGACTTCACACCGTGTGGAAGAAACTTTATAAACATATAAGTTTCAAATCAGAAAGTGGCAAAAAACAAAATAAGAAAAAACCTTGAAAATTGGACTATTTTAACCTAATTGTTCCAAATATATTTAATATATATAATTTTACATGGTCCTACTTGGTCCTACATGGTCCTACTCTACTCTACATGGTCCTACTTGGCCCTACTCTACTCTACTTGGCCCTACTCTACTCTACTCTACTCTACTCTACTTGGTCCTACTCTACTCTACATGGCCCTACTTGGTCCTACTCTACTCTACATGGTAGGGCCATGTAGAGTAGAGGGCCACCTGACATGGTCCTACTCTACTCTACTCTACTTGGTCCTACTCTACTCTACATGGTAGGGCCATGTAGAGTAGAGGGCCACCTGACATGGCCCTACATGGTCCTACTCTACTCTACTCTACTTGGTCCTACTCTACTCTACTCTACTTGGTCCTACTCTACTCTACTCTACTCTACTTGGTCCTACTCTACTCTACATGGCCCTACTTGGTCCTACTCTACTCTACATGGCCCTACTTGGTCCTACTCTACTCTACCTGGGTGTGTTTCTATCACGCTTTCATATCTGGTACCATGTCCTAGCAACCCACCCGGGGAAATTCCTTGGCAACCGTGGCTTCCAGCTGAACTCTGGCCAATCTGTGTCGGTCGGACCAGTCGGAGAGAACCAGGACCAGTGGGAAAACTCCCAATCGGGGCCGAGTAGAGCCGAGTAGAGCCGAGTAGAGCCGAGTAGAGCCGAGTAAAGCCTAGCAGAGTTCTAAACACAGGGCTTCATGTTTTTAACTGTATTCAAGTCATTTTGGGCTGAAATGTGTGTTTTCGGCGGCGCTCTGGGTGTTTCTGCATCACGGCCTATATTCTCTAAAAGCCTGTTTTTAAGACGGACGTGTAAAAACCTTAACTGCAAATATTTGTACCAGGAACGTTTGGAAACTTTTGTTATTGATTTAAATTTATTTTTTTGGAGGAAAAGTAGTTTTACAGTTTTAGAGTTCAGTGTTAAAGTTTACAGTGTGGATCGTCGGGCTCTCATTTCTTCTTTTAGACTCGTTTTTAGAGCATTTCCAACATTTTACGTCAGTGTTTTGTCATTTTTACTTTTTACAAACGTTCAATCGTAGCATCCACAAAATATACATCTGGGTTTTGTTCCTTTCGTCTCCAGAGCGATGTGTCTGCGGCTTCAACGGATTCTTATGGTGGGATTTAGTGCCATGGCAAAGACTTGTGGCTAATACTACTGCTACTGCTAATACTGCTAATGCTACTGCTACTGCTAATACTGCTACTGCTACTACTACTGCTACTGCTACTGCTACTGCTACTGCTGCTACTGCTACTGCTAATGCTACTGCTGCTACTGCTACTGCTGCTACTGCTACTGCTACTGCTACTACTGCTACTGCTGCTACTGCTACTGCTAATGCTACTGCTGCTACTGCTACTGCTAATGCTAATGCTACTGCTACTGATAATACTACGTCTACTGATACTACTGCTACTGCTACTAATACTACTGCTACTACTGCTACTACTACTGCTACTGATACTACTGCTACTACACATACTACTGCTACTGCTACTGCTAATACTACTGCTTATACTACTGATACTAAAGTCACGTCATCCACGTCGTTTGCCAGTTAAATTTTGAGCTTTTAAAGAATCAAAATCAATACAAATTTGAAATATTTGCCAATTCTCACTTTTCCCACAATCACATAATAAAACTGAACATATTAGATTAATTCTTAACTCCCTGAAAGTGCATTCGGAGATTCCCTTTTTGCCTTGAAAGACAAAACAACTCATTTTATTTCACATCCGTTGAGTGCTCTCTTTTATCTCCGACCACTCGGACGAGACATTCCCATAAGTGATTTCATTACGGCCCCGTCTTGGCAAAACGTGATCCGCTCTTGGCTCCGGAATTGATTGTAATCTTCCTAAGAGTCTTTGGGCCGAGCGGACGCCACGGTGATAGCGTCCAGACAAAGATGGAGTCTGGCTAATGTCGGGAAAATCAGTCAGGAAGTGAAAACCTCCTCTCTTTTTCCGCGGCTGATTTTGGGGCCAGAGCACTTCCATTGAGTTCTTTAATCAATCAAGCGTCGTCTGTGCCCGGGACGACCTTCACCGTGTCCTGGGCTCGCCGCAATCAATGCCCCCCTCCTCGTTAGCCAGTCTGCGGAGGAGGTAGCGAGCTAAGCGGCTAATGAGACAAGACATTGCACTAGTATTATGGCAAATATTAGCGGTTTTTGTGTTATGCTAACATTTGGCACGCTCCATGTTTCAGCGTTTTAGTTTTCTTCCCATTCAATTACACCGGGAGCAGTGTTTTAGGCCTGCTGCCGTAAGCTAGGCTAATTTTATAAGTCTAAATATTGACATAGGGGTTAGCAAGTCACAACTGTTTTAGAATCCATTCAATGCGCAGTTGATCCGCCCGTGTTGTGACGATAAATGACTACTTTGAGATTGGTTTTCCACGTTAACAACGCTCTCCCGAACGAGGAACACACAAAACATGTATTTGTCGCATGTTGTGTGTAATCCCGACATTAGCAGGAGAAAAACAAACCGTTTTATGGTTTGATCCATTGGAACAAACTTTAAAAACCTTCTCTCAGTCCATAGACTTCCTGTGCTGCTAGTTTTCATTTCAACATGCTGCGATACTTGTTTCTACCAGCAGAGGGAGCAAGTCACGGGATTGGTCCAAATTGGCAAATTCTACCAAAAAAAATCAATTCGCCAATTTGACTAAAATTCCAATATATTTTTGTTAGTTTTGTTTTTCTCCGAGCGGATACAAGTAAAAATAACAGTTAATGATAAATAATGTTTTTCTTTGATCTTCGTAGATGGTTGAATGCTCATTATTCAGGAATGTAAATCTGCAAAGATAAGCTAAGTTAGCTTTGTGTCCGTCGGGCTTTTTCCACTATAGATGGGATTGTGTTAGCTGTAGTTTTTTATTCTTCATTCTATGCAAAAGTAGCTCGTTTTTTTTAGCATGTCGGAATTTCACTGCCCCCCCCCCCCCCCCCCCCCCACCATCGACATGTCATGTTTGGTCAGAATCAGAGGTGGGCTCGAGGGAAGACCCGGTTCTCTTTGAATAACGCTGGGAATGAGGCTATGCTAACGAGGAGTAGCATAGCCTAGCATAGAGGAATGAGGGGTATACTAACCGTACATATTGTAAATTAGCTTTGTTAGCGAGTGACCAGCATGAAGGTCGCACGAGAAACCAGTTTGAAGACAACGAAGCGTCCCCAGACCAGGTTTTTAATGAACAAAACTAATATTTAAAACGTTTCAACTCAAAATCGTCCAAAATCGAACCAAATCAAAGGCAAAATTGACCATATTTCAAAAGCCTAGATTCTGACATGTCATTGTAAAGTAGAAAAACTGTACAATATGTTCCATCTAAAATCAAAACGGTCACTTTTTCAGGTCGAATCTGTGAAAATGTAAAAGTCTAAATGACCTCAAAATTAGTGTCAGATTTTCCAAAATGGCCGACACTTCACTCACCCTCTTCCTTTCCGTCGTTTTAAACCATGTCCGAGGTGTTGCATAACGTCAATGGTTCGTTTTTGTTTTTTAGAAATCCCGAAACTTGAAGG